TGGAAATATAAAAGATCATTATTAGTAAAATAGTTCTAACTTAGAACTGAAATAATTACTTTTATGAATTACTGAATGGGATATTACACTAAAGTTGGGTGCAATTTTCACAAGAAATTTGGCGTAGGGCGGGGTGGGGGATTGGGGCTGAGGTTGAGGTAATTGGGGTTGGGTTGGGTGGATTTTCACAGTGAAAGCTAGCGGCGGCGGAGGTCGACGGCAGAATGGTCGACGACAGGGGGGCAATGAAGATAATGACGGTAGATGAATGCAATGAAACAATAATTATGTTATTGTGTTGAGGGTAATTATTGCAAATTGATTTTTGAATGAAGGGTAGAAAAGTAGTTTCAACTTAAAAAGTATAATTACCAAACATTAACCAAACAAGTTAATGGAAAAACTGATTTGATGGATATATCAAGAATATTATATCATGCACAATCACCCTTTAACAACCAAACCCACCCTAAAATCTTAAACGATTTTACGTTCATAATTGATTAACTTTAAAGTTTAAATATAAAAAAACTAATTAGTGAACTTTGATTTCTATTTTGCCTTAAAGATTTAATTTGTATGATTTAGACTTGGATTTGTAATTTTGTATTTTTTAATTACGGTTAATCGAACTGCACCAAATCAAAAATATTGGTTTGATTCGTTTCGATTTTTTCTTTTTCTTGCGGTGCAGTCCGGTTCGAGTGTACATATTTTTTAGAGGAAATTACACCCCCCACTAATAGAATTCATTTTAATATCACTTTTGAACCCCTTATATTTTTATTTGTAAAATTACATAAATGACAAAGAAAATTTTCAATTGTGCCTAACATGCTACAAGAACCGTTATCAAGGCTTTAAATGCTAATGAGAGATTTTAGGGGAATTAAAGATACACTTAACAAAAAAAAAGGGAACAAATAAGTCAACCACAAAAAAGGGGACCGTCTCCTCCTTTTTTTTCTTTCAATCTCCTGCAACAAAACCTGCTCAAGAAACTTTCCCCAAATCAAGATTCAATGGCCAAACTTCCTATACCTGCTTGACATATTAAATATTTGTTATTAAAGGTACGACGGCTCGCGGGGTCTGCTCGCGGCGGTTCTAATCGCCGGAGGAAGAGGCTGGTCGCGGGCGTCTGGTCGTGACAGGGTTCGCGGGAAGCCGCGCAATTCACGCATGAACAAGGGTCGCCGGAATTCTTCGCGAGATGGAGGCGGAACTGGGCAGCGACTCACGACGTGGGAGGAGAGCGGGTCGTGGCGTTGCTGGGGTCTCGTCGCCGGCGGGGCGGCTGTTCGATATATGTTCAGTATATGTCCCCAATTTCTGCTGGTATATTTTGAGTAAAAATATGTTGTGTATATTTTTGAGTAATGTTTGGTATATTTTTTATTTTAATCGACCAGTCATTTTATTTTTGTGGTATATTTGCATAACTTTTCTTAAGAAAAAGATCGATCGCGCCTCTATCGTTTATGTTGTGTTGTGGTATATCTACAGTATATGTTCGTTATATGTACAGTATATATGAAAGACATGTTTTTCATTGCAACATATACTGAATATATACTCACATAAACGCAACATATACTCACTGGGACAGTTGTGTGAATTACAATACATGTTTTTATTTCTCTCTATGTTAAAAACGTACAGTGCGCAAATTAAGGAATTTAATGGATTATTATAAGCATATTTTCATTTCTCTCTCCTAATCAATCCCATAAAAAGGGGATGGAAGTTGAATGGATATAGTAAATGATTTAGGCATTAATATAAATAAATAAGGTGGTTTAGGTAAAGACACAATTATTAATATAGATATGGTAGAATTGTAAATAAATTAAAATCACGTACGTGAAAATTTCCCTATTTTTTTATCTTTGTTTTTGGTCCCACTCCTATCTAAGACTGGCAAAGTCAAAGGATGCTAACTCAACTGCTCAGTAGTTTCCTTGTATTTTCGAACACCTTTTACTACCCAATTTATATAATCCCTCTTTTTGACCTAATTTTCTCGTGTGTTATCCACCACTCTTCCTCCCCATCCTCTCGAGGACTTTCGTTGTTTTTCCCCAATTCGTACACGGTCGCATACTGCAAAACCCATATCAGTTTGACCCTTTATTCGATAATTTAAAGATGAAGGTGGTTACTGATTGTTTTTGGGACGGCAAGATTTTAACTCCCGGGTTCAGATTTCATCCCACAGACGAGGAGCTCGTACTTTATTATCTGAAGAGGAAGATCTGCTGTAAACGGCACCGTCTGGACGTGATCGGTGAGCTGGACGTTTACAAGTGTGATCCGGAAGAGTTGCCTGGTAGGGTTTTGACCTAAGTTTGTTTCTTTTTGGGACTTTACTTGTGCTGGTTTGGTTTTTATTTGATCGTGGAGTTTTTTTGTATGTGGGTTCTGGATTATATCTTTCTTTTGATTTGGAATTTGATTAATATGTTGTGTTTGAATTATTCGTGTGCTTGTTTGCTTGCTTGATTAATTGATTATATTTTCGGGTTTCAGATAATCGTTTGTGGGTTTTTAGTATGTTTATGATATGTAAGATCTATGTTCTGTTTGGCTAGTTTTGATTGTGGTTAAAGTCAAACGTGGTGCTGTTGTTAGTTGATTAGTTTGTCTGGTTTTCTTGTATAATTATTATTATTATTCTAATGTCCCTAGATGTAAATTGTCTGATTATATTGTTGCTTTGAATTGCATAGGTAATGTATAATCCTCGATTAATAGTTAAAGTTTTGAGTCCTTGTTGTTTCGTTTCTTGTAACAAATACATGCCTTAGCTATTGAATTCTATATTGGTTTCTACATGAAATATTTGTTTGATTACTTTTCCCCTTCTTATGTGATGATATTTCACTTTGGCTGTACACCCGCAGTTCCATTCAAATCGAATGATACTTCATTCTTTTTTTTTTCTCTGTATGCTCCAACTCATAATTTACTGACTATTCTCAAATCTAAAAATTGCAGGGATGTCAAAACTGAAAACCGGCGACAGACAGTGGTTCTTCTTTAGTCCCAGGGACAGGAAATATCCGAATGGTGCACGTTCCAATCGAGCCACAAGGCACGGTTACTGGAAAGCAACTGGCAAAGATCGTGTAATATTGTGCGGTGCTCGTGCAGTCGGATTAAAGAAGACCCTCGTTTTCTATAGAGGTCGTGCCCCAAGTGGGGAGCGCACAGACTGGGTAATGCACGAATATACCATGGATGAGGATGAGTTGAATAGATGCAAGAATGCCAAGACTTATTATGCCTTATACAAGGTCTTCAAGAAGAGTGGCCCAGGTCCAAAGAACGGCGAACAATATGGTGCTCCATTTAATGAAGAGGAATGGGAAGACGAAGAGAATCCTGTCATGATTGCTAACAAGGCCGTTCTTGTAGACAATGGCGAGACAGTCAACAGTCAACTTGTTGTGTCCTCATTGGAGGATGATCTCGAGGAAATCATGGAAAGGATGTTGGACGAGCCTATCCCTCTTCAGACCCTAGCTGCTGATGAAGATGGGATTTCTTTTGAAGAGTTCATGGGGAAGTTCGAGACTGTTAGTAACTCTGTTGACTATTCTTGTAGAGATGTTTCATTACCCATGATACAGTCATTTGGGATGCAGCCAAATGTGGCAGAAGCTAATTTTGATCTTACGCAGTCTGGGATTAATGGATTATTATCCTTTAGTGAGGCATCTGAGGTCTCGTCAATCCCGGTCAATCATATGGAAAATCCTCATGTGATTGAAGAGGATTTCTTTGAAGATTTTCTTGAATTGGATGATCTGAGTGGCTCTATTCTGACCGCACAAGAGAAGACTGATGATCGTGTGATCAATGATTCGCAGAATCAGGTGTTTGATGGGTTTGATGGTTTGAGTGAATTCGATTTTTACGAGGATGCCCCTTCGATCCTTTGTGACCTGGGACCAGTTCATCCAAGGGAGGCTTCTCAACCTCACATTGATAGTTTTGTCGACAATAGAAATTTTGATGCGGTCTCGAGTTTGCAGTTGGACAATCTTGAGAACCCAACTGGGAATTTTCTGATGCAGCAACAATTTAATGATACAGAAGGGGTTGCATATCGGATGTGGACAAACGAGCAAAGTTGCAGTGTCGTAAATGGTGCAGAAGCAAATCAGGGACTCTGCCCATCTCGTTCTTCAGGTACTGAATCTTGTGGGAATTTGAAGGATGTAATTTTGGAGCACCGTTGCAAGTGTGTTTTTCATATCACTAGTTTCTCATGACTTGCACGTTGAATATTCTCTTCTTTAAAAAAAAAAATTTAGTCAAATTTACATGACTTAGCAACATTTTTTTTTTTTTGTTTGGCTGGTATTGCTAAATTTGAAAAGAAGTGAATTGATTGTTAGTTATTTGGCTTTATTGACTAATATTGATAAAGCTCTTGGTCAGATGGATGGTATGGCAAGACCATGTCATCATCTTCAAGGTGGTGAAAACTCTCGAGCCCAAGTGGAAATGGGGGAGTTTGAGCCAGCTTCAAGAGCTATATTGTTCTGCTGCTAAAGTCTGTTTTTACTAATTATTCGCGGCTTTTGTCATTTCCTTTTTTTGTTTCTGTTAGGTGTATTGCATCAAAATCGAATTAGTGGTTTTGTAAATCAATCTGCCGGAGCAAATGAAAATGGAAGTCGGGAAGAGGATGATGGCACAAACTCTTGGTTGTCTTCTGCTCTATGGTCCTTTGTGGAGTCTATACCAACGACTCCTGCCGAAGCTTCTGAGAGTGCTTTGGTAAATAGGGCTTTTGAGCGGATGTCTAGCTTCAGTAGGGTAAGACTTAATACAAGAAAGATGAATGTTGCTGCAGGCAATGCCTTAGCAACTACCAGAATGTCGGGCAAGTTTAGAGTCGGTTTTATATGTTTGTCTTTAATTGGACTATTGTGTGCCATACTATGGGTGCTTGTGGGAAACAATGTGAGATTATAATATGAACTACTTGATTAATATGTTAATTGGGATGTTTTCATGTGGTGCTAGCCGAGAATTTTACGGCCAGCTTTTTGAATAGTTCAAAAGTCTGCTAAATACTCACGTAATGCGGGCATAGCTTCTTAGGGTGATGGTTTTTGTGTTCTGGTATTTGTTTTCACAATTTGGGGGTGACACAAAAAAGCCTGTTAAGTTACGAGCAAGTATTTGGATAATTTACTTACCTAAAGAAGACTCAAGTCTGAGTAAGTTAATTTCATGAAAGGGGGTTTTGTGTTGTGCACCATTTGCCTTGCCTTTCACTAAATCTTTGCGTAGATTGAAGGATTTGATGAATGTGCACGGGTCGAAAGATCTTGCACGGGTCGTATGATCTTGTGTTAAAGACTGAAAGGGCCTCGAGGACTTTTGGTAGGAATACAAGCCCTGATGTTATTTCATCAGTAGTCAAATTGTTTATCTGAATGAACTCGATGTATATTGGATATCAGATCTTTTGTTATTACAATTATAGTTATTGAGTTTTGTATGGTGATTTGTAATCTATATTAGTTGCTGAAATCTGAATTATGTTTTGGGTATCAAATGAGTACTGCGAAAAATGAAAGATACAAATGAAGTGGATTTTGAGTTCTATAGATTATAGTTAAAAATTTAGTTGACGTAATGAGTGTGATAAAATTAGTTGACAAGTCACTTGAAATACTATAATGGTTAAAAATCAATTAAGGCAATGTACTCGTAAAACCGTCTGACATGGTGTGTTACTTGAGAATGACGAGGCCGAAGTATGTGCGGTTGGCGCCGGAGGTAATCTCGGACCTCTCGGTTCGTCGAAAAGGCTGAAAGATGTAAGATTTTCATAGTTCAAGGGAGCAGAAAGTGGCATTTGTTTCCAATTGGCGGGTTTTATAGAAGACGGGGGAAAAACGAACGGGCGAACTTGATATGAAATGGCAGTCGATCTAGGCCGCTCATTTTTATTCAGGATCAACGATAGGTAAGAAAGCTTGTGGAAGACGGCTGGCAGGGAGATCCCAGTGCTCGAGGACACGCGTTGGGAAAATATGGGGAGGAGAGTGAGAAGGTACGCGCGATAAGCGGGACAAGAAGTAGCACATATCCTCTGCCGAGCTGCTCGTAGTGAAGCAACGAGCACTCTTTGTCTAGCTCTCGTAGCGAAGCAACAAACATTCTTGGCCGAGCTGATCCTAGTTCGACGGGTGGGGGGAAGGGGGCTAGATGATATAGCAAGATGAAATACCTCATGTAGAGATGAGGTCAACCACGATTGATAGCTCGACATTTGGACCTTAGGTATAAGACAATGAACGAGGTGTGAAGCTCGGTAGGTGGAAGTCGCACTGTAAGGGCACCTTGTCGGCCTACCTGAAATTGGTAGCGGGCGGAGGTCGGCCCACAAGGAAGGTAGGCAGCATGATAATCTCAACAGACTGACTCTTCTCTAGCTTGGCCTCAAAGGAAAGTAGGCAGCATGAAGAGTCGAATTAAGTTGGGAAGGCGAGTCCTTTCCAGCGTAGGAGTACATACCCTAAGGGACTCTAGATACCAAAAGATTTTGGTCATAGAGAACCCTAAGGGACTCTAGATAGCATAAGATTTTGGTCATAGAGAAGAAGGGTTTGGGGAGAATTCTTGCTCTACTAGGAGTTCTATGGTCAACATGCAACTTCAACAATAAAAAGGGCACATGTTCTTATTTTTTACACAACACACATACACACGCGAATTTATTCACTCGATAAAATCATTGTTGAGCGTTGGACTGACTTGAGCGTCGGAGTGTTTTCTGCAGGGACCCCTCCCGACGTTTTGCAGGTCACTGGAAGCATCAAGGCGATCCAGGTCAGCGAATTACACTTCAAACCGGTTGAGGTTTAATCTGCGCAACAAGTTGATAAGCCTAAAATAAAATAAAAATTTTAACTGTTTTATTTTGAAAAGTTATAAAGCTCTCGTAAAAAGAAATTAAAAGCTCTCATTATGCTCTATTGAAATTTATTCCTTTAATAAATTCACTATTAAATATAAAAAGGTCATCACATTTTTATAAAATTAAAAATATAAAGTAAATTCGTAAGATGAGTATTATTTGGTCGACCATTTCGAGTTGACCCAATTTTGAGTCATCTTTGTAAGATACAATTTTTTAAATTATCTCCATGTTTTCCGCGGTCCCTGGTGCTAGGACGCCAGATCCCGCCGTGCAGTGGCAGTTATTGTGCTGCGACCGACGGGGGTATGGTGGGGGAGGCCGTCGGTTTGGGCATACTGGGACTAACCGAGGTGGTGAACTGTAGGTGGGTTCGGGTCCGTTGATTCGGGCGAGTTAGCCGTATAGGGAGTTTATTGATCCTGTGGTGGGCCGTGGATGTGTAGCTTTGCAATTTTGGTTTATCTCTTGGNTGTTTATTCGTGTTTTTGTCTCTTCTTTCTTTCTCCTGTTGGAAGTTGTTTAGTCTCCACTCGTGGGAAGTTGTTTTATTCTCATTTTGAGAGTTTTTTTTGGCTTGTTTGCTTTTAGTTAGATATTGGTTGCTCTGATGTAGGCCTCCCAACTAGTTTTGGCTATTGGATGATTTTGTTGGCATTTGGCTGTTGTCTAGTCTGTATTTTTCTTTTCCATATATATAGTTTCTATCATTCCATTTTTTTTTAATCAAGTTCTTTAGGGCATGGTTGGATACAAATATATTTGCTCAAAATTGATTTTTTTTGTTAACTAGAGCTAATTTTGAAAAAGGTGGTATGGTTAGTGACATGAACCCGAAGGATCGAGACAATGGTGATGATGTAGGGAAGGTTAGGGTGGCGAAGGCGAACAAAGAAGGTAGAGAAAAGGCCGGAGAAAGATGGGTTTTGTAGTTTCGTATTATTGGATTAATAAACGAAAAATTCGTACAAATTGATTTTCAGCAGATCAAATAGTGGATTACAAATCTCAAGTATTCCTCTGGTTAATTTCTTCAAGAACAATCTTCATCTGGATTTGAGACTTTTGGAGACGAATCGTCAGTTTGATCTTTGCCTGTCTTGAATTTGAATTTAAATAACGTTTCTTCGAGAGCTTGACAGCTTGATCTCGAATCGAACGTCGTGATTTCCCAAGAACGTGAAAAACACGAGTCTTTAGTCTTCGCCGCAAAGTTGATTTTCGATCTTCTCTATGCCGGTCTTGACTTTTAATAACGTAATTTGAAGGCTTGACAACTTATTTCCGGATTGAACGTTGGTTTTGAGCTTGAACGAGCTTAAATCTTCATTCGGATCTTTTTTTCGGATCTTCAAGAACGCCTTTGGATATTCAAGAACACTCAAGGTTGTCAAAATCGGGCCGGACCGGCCGGTTCGACCGGTTCAACCAGCGACCGGACATAGTTCCGGTCTGGTTTGAGTGTTTAAACTGTTGGGAGCAAGAACCGGCTTCGAACGGTCAAACCGGTGAACCGGTATCGGTTCAGACGGTTCGGCGGTTCTGAAATTCAGAAATCAAATTTTGGCCCAACCAAACCTATTCACTATATTCAATTCAGTAATGAGATTTTTGTTGTCCAGCCCAACTTAGTTAAAGTTTTGTTGGCCCAACTCCCAACCCAATATTCAAAAAAACAAAAAAAACTTAATGAATTAAAAAAAAAAAATCAAACAAAAGAGTAAA